GACCTCTGGCGTGTTAAAGATGCTGTCGTCGCTGGTGTGGGCCATGAGGACATTGGATGGATGCTCCTCGCTGGTCTCGGCCTTGTTCCCCAGCAGAGGGATTTCGTTACTGTTCCGGACGATTACCTCCTTGTTGACCGTGGGCTGCACCGGGCGCTCCACCTCTGGGATCTTGTTGTTGTTCACATCAGGCTGAGGATGAAGAGAGGGATTTAAACGTACCGCCCTGCACGTCCACAAACTGAACTCTACATGTGCACCAACACCACCAAAACATATTCTTTTGAACGAGTCCACAAACAGGTTGCCATCATGATAACCAGGTGCAGAGTAACAGCCATAGCTCTGACATGTTAAGGTAAATCCAGACACTCACCATATCTGAGGGTCTGGGCTCTGTTCCAGGCGACACCGTAACTCCTGCAAAAACAAGATTCTTCATTTCATCTTATTTCAAGAAGAACACCTCCAATACAATTCTAATTTCAATAAGTAAAACATTTTATTTGTGAAGACTAACCTCCGTCGCCAGATCCAGAGATGTCATCATAGTCATCCAGGTCAGTGTGGTCATCATCCTCATCCTCATCTTCATTGTCTGTGAAGCCGAAGTCTGAGTTGTTTAGGGAGTCTCCCGATGACTCCAGGTCGACCTCGTCCCCGTGTTTGGTCTTGACAGCCATCTGTGTGGTCTTCATGGGCATCCACGTCTCTGTCTCCCTCACCTGCTGGGACACCAGAGACAAACGGGTCAGAGGGATACGCTGGTGAAAACAGTCACCATCTCAGTTTTGTGTGGTACCATGATGACATTTGTTAGCCAACAGTAAACAAAGTACAGCTGAGGCTGATGGGAAAGTCAGTTTGGTTTATGATCACATACCTACAAAAGTACAGAGAAAACTAGAAACGCTAGATGAAAAATCAGAGGGTCACCAAAGTCACCAGGACTCTGAGAACCATGAACAGCCGAAGCTAGTCTCTAGGCAATTCTCTCAAAAACCAGGAGTATCGACGTCATCCTCTGGGAACCAGCTGTGTAAAGTTTTACAGAAGTCCATCCAGTAATTTGAGATATTTCACCAAAATGGTGGACAAGAGAACAATATGCCGTCCCTACGGTCATGCTGCACTCATGGCTCAAGACGGGAGAGAAAACCAGGCACAACAATCACACGGACTACAACTCACCACCAACGAATGGAATGTCGTAGCCAGTCCATCTGCTCCAGCACCATTTTCATCTGAAGCTCCCTTTCTACGGTCTCTGTTCAGGGAGACGACCCACAGGTTGAAAGACTTCTGTTCCAAGTGCACGGCGGCGACACAACTAGACAAAACTAAACCTGCATATCACACAGACTAATGAGCAAAAACACAGCTGATGTACCAGAGGAACTCTCCGTCATCGTCCTGACGCAAACGCACAAAGAAAAGCCACCATTAGCAGACAACAACTGGCAGCCTGCACCCGATATTCCAGGGTGTGACGGAGGACTGATGGGAAACGGAGAAAACTGGAAAAGCACAAACAAAAACAGGCCAGTTCCTGTTTTGTTCAGAGATGTAAAGTACACGTGTTGCACTGTTGGTCTGACACATCAGGACTTCAGGTTATTGTGATGTCATTATTCAGTGTTTTCTAACATCTTACAGACCAAACAATTGGTACTTTGGCTGTTTTTGTTAGAGTTACAATAAATCACTCTGGACTCCAGACGTTTTACTGACAACAACCTAATCCCATCAGGCAGTAAATAAATCAGAGCTGAAACAAGTCGTTGATTAACTGATCAGTCGACTCAAAACTGGCACCAGTTCTGACAACTCGCTATGGTTGTTGAATCAGACAAAAACCTTTTTCTTGGCTTTCCAATGCCAAAATTAGATTATGTCAATTCAAACCAATATGAAATTAAAAAGCAAAAACAGCAGTTTTCCCTGGTTCCAGCTTCTTAAATGTGAAATTTTGCCGTTTTTGTAAAACCTTAAAATTAAAGTGACTATTTATAGTTGTTTGGCTTCAATAAGACTGAATACGTTAGCGAGCGATTCAACTATGAAAATAATCAGGAGTCGCAGCAACATGAGCACGTGTTCTAGTTCGATAGACACTTTGTCCGGTAGCAACAGCAACGATTACCAAAAGTCAACCAAAGTTAAAGTGCAAGACTAAAATATAAGGGAAAAATAAAAAGGTCAACAAATATGAGTAAACAACTTCTCAGACAAAGGCAATGATCTTGATTCATTCTCAGCTGCTAAACCTGAGTTAACTGATAACTCAAGTCAATCACCTGCAGACACATTGACAAGATGGTCAGCTTTTGTGCCCTGGTCACTTTTCTTTGCAGGGAACGAAAAGTCCAGACTGCAGACAGCAGAGCATTGTGGGAGAAAAGAGGAACAAGCCTTTTTAATGAAACCTTCCATTTACCGAGAACAAAAGTTGACCACAAATCTCACTGGAACCAGGCCTGGCCATCCCACAGCATCCCCATTTACCCACACACAGACAGTCGTGCTGATGTCATGAGCTCTCCTCCTAACTACTTCCATCTGAATCTTGTCAGGGTCTTCAATACAAGGGTTAACTGGTGGCTAAGCCTACTGGGGGGGGCTCCCAGCATCACGTGCATGTTCTCCAGTACTCAGTAATGTTTGAAGGTAATCCTCTCTGCCTTTAAAAGTGGCTGCTATGAGCAGGAGGAGGGGAGGGGCTTGTCCGCTGTGACTGCTACGTGCTGCAACAAGCCCGGTGACTCGCGTTACAGGAATCCTGCTCATTCAGACCATAACATCCATCCGAGTCAGGAGTCTTCAATCCACTGGCAGCATGAGTCATTGAAGCACCTTTTCCTGCAGGAACACCAATACTTCACATCATTCCCTCAGGCAGCTGTTTGAAACCTGCAGGTTTAAAGGTGCTAGAAGCTACTTTTCCAGCCAGCGATGACTGACGGGGCAAAAACCCCGTTTTCAGGCAGGGCAGTCAAATCCATCCCCAACATCTGCTTTTCTAGCTTTATCTCTGATTGTTGAGCAAAGCTTTGTTTTAGAAGTAATTTCATCATCATTTCCTTTGTAATTTGATAGTTTCTAAAGCTGAAATAAGAGCTACCACATCCATTAAAATAATTTCTCTTTCCCAGCTACTATTGAAAACTATTTCCACACATGATTCAAGGTATTCTTGTCCATAAATCAGTGTCATATTTGTGCATGTTCACCTATTGTGTGTTGATTCAAAACTTTTTAGGTCGCTTCACTGATATTTCCCCCAGACATTCCTTTCCAGGAAACGTATCCAGAAATGATGGACATGTAGAATAAAGTGTCAGACTGCTGCTAATTAATCATGAACATCCTAATATTGCAAACAAATATTTGATTTGTGAAACTCATTTTTAAACCAAACTACTCACTCACTGAGTGTAAATGAATAAAGTCAGTGGGGTAATGAAGAAGTTATGGATTACACCACTGAACACGTTTCTGTTCAGTGTTAAAAACAAAAATGCTGCGTGTATTTGGCTTCCACACAGTTTCAAACAGACAGCAAGTTCAACAGCCAGAAGAGCCAATATGTTCATCTGTCAGTGTCCTGGAGTGTCAGTAAACACTCCTGGTTGCTGCTGACCTTTAACCCCCCTATGGTGAAACGTGGACGTACCTTTGCGTCCTGCAGGGATGAACTAAAAGATACTGGTAACTGAAGTGCTCCAACAACAGTTGTACAGGCCGACTGAGACCTGTGCCAACAGGCCTGGTACATTCAGTGGAACAGAGCAGGGGGAGACAGATGAAAAGCTGAGGGGTTTTTGTTAGGTCTCCCTAATGACGACAGCCTTTGAATCTGATTTGGGGGGGGCATTACATCTTTACTACATTCTCCACAATGGGACTCAGGCCAAGTTTCAGTCTGTCCAGGCAAAAAAACTCCCCCAGTTCCAAGAACATCTTTGGGAACAACACGCCCACAGCAGGGGAAGAAACCGCACGCCTCCGTTTCACAAGTCTGAGGATGCATTTAAAAACAGTCTGTACATAAAATGGAAGATATTTAACTCTGTTGGTGCACAAACGGAGGAGGACGGTGCAGCTCCCCCCTCTCCAAACCAGCTCAGACTGGCACAGAGAAAGGAGAGAGGAGAGTCCGAACAGTGGTTATGCAACCGAGCAAACATGAAAATCAGCTCTCACGTGGTGATTTTACCAAGACTGGGTGAGCCTCTGTGATTTGTTAAACTAGGTCCCTTTAGTCAGGACTGCCTGCCGCTCAGTGACTGAACGAAGGAAAAAAAGAACCTCAAGTGTCAATAAATCAAAGAAACAAGAATATTTTATGTTGTAACTGGAAATAAAAAGATCCTCCAGAACATATGAAAGCAAACGTACGTTAGCCAGGATCCCTTCTCCGACTCCACATATAAACTCATTAAGTGAATGTGCACTCAAACACTGTTATTATCTCCAAGCTTCACAGCCACATACAGTCACGCCCTTGTGTTATTAAACCTAATGTGTTAACAACCACAGCCTTAATGGGCTCTGCAACACCAACTCTGGCTGTGTGCCTTCCAGCAGAAAACCACACAGACATCCTGGAAGACGACAACACCACCACACACTCCATGTAAAGTAAATGCACAACAATGCTGCTTTCAAGAGAAAGATCAGGTTTGTTCATGTATTAGGCTCTAATGTGTCGCTGTTGGAAAACCTTAATTTAGAACAAAACTTTAGACTTGAAGCTGGTCAACTACCTTGACTGGCAGCCATTTTGGCCCCAGCAGATCACCATTTCCACTCTCAGCAGAGGCTCTTGTATTTCTGCCTAACATGGATAACAGCCAACCAAATGGCTTTAGTGGAGACACCTGGGAAATTGTGTGTCTGTTTGCATGTTGAGTATTTAATCTGATACTGTGCCAGAGCATGCAGTAACTTTCTACTTCCATAACATGGATCTCGGCAGTAAAATCTAGGGTTGGGCCAATGGACAACATTGCATCCACTAGGACTTTCTCAGTGAAGCGTCTGACTTTGGAAAGCCTCCCTAGACATGGTAAAACTCAGCAGTACCAGCTTTTGCTCCTAAACTTTGCAGATCCCCAATTGTCTGCATTCAGCAAAAGGCAGTCAAGACACCCGCCACCCAGCCTTTGGATCGGTCTCTTTCATCGACACCAAACAATGCCAGTGGATGCCTCAAGAGCATATCAATGACCAAGGTAACCGGGGGTACGCCTCCAACAGCCCCCTTCATTACACTGGGGAAACAATCCCTCCATCTGCCGACACTGGGAGAGGCATCTGTTCCCTTCACAAAGCGGCACGGAGGACTACGAAGTATGAAAAGACGGAAAAGAAAACACCAGCCTGCAGGAATGTGCTTCCTTGGTCTTTGTGATGTCCAACGTCTTTTGACCTTTTCATGAGAAGACAATTATTGTTTTCTAACGATATTCAGGTGCCTTTGTGGCCTCAGATCACCTCCTGAGCCCAAAGCAACTAAACTACAATGTGCTTTTAAATGGCACAGGGGGTCTGAAGTGCTACTCGTCACCTTTTTCCTCATTTTCCTCCACATTTCACTCCCTTGCTACTTCATATGTTGTTTTTCCATTTCTTCCCTGAAACCTCCTGCGGCTGGGTGATACTTGAACCAGTAGGATGTACACCATGTACTGTCACCTGATCCGTTACTAAGACGCACTTCTACCGA